AGTAGTCCGGGGGAGGCCGCAGCAGGGCTGAGGAGAGGGGCAGGATCAGCTCCCTCCACCTGCTGGCAACGCTCTGCCTAATGCGCCCCAGGATCCCATTGGCCTTCTTGGCCACAAGGCCACACTGCTGGCTCGTGGTCACCTTGTTGTCCGCCAGCACTCCCAGGTCCTTCTCGGCAGAGCTGCTCTCCAGCAGGTCAACCCCCAGCCTGTCCTGGTGCAGGGGGTTATTCTTCCCTAGGTGCAGGACCTTGCACTTGCCTTTGTTGAACTTCAGGAGGTTCCTCTCTGCCCATCTCTCCAGCCTGTCCAGGTCCCTCTGAATGGCAGCACAGCCCTCCGGGGTATCAGCCACTCCTCCCAGTTTAGTATCATCAGCAAACTTGCTGAGAGTGCCCTCTGTGCCAGTCTCTAGACCTGGACTGCTCCATACTGCAACTTAGTGCTTTGTAAACTGGTCTTTTTTCAAAAGGGCTCTGGATACAATTCTGTGCTCAGCCTCCCTGATCTAAGGGGAGAGGGAGGGAGGGGAAATCTATTGCAGCAGGCCATGTTGCCCTCCTGCACTTGAAAAAGAAACAATAATTTGTGTTAAACCACCATGATTTGGAAGCTCACTTCCATTTCTTTTATTCACTTCAAAGCCCACCATCTCATCCTCACACGCTGTACTTTGTCATGTTTTGCAAGGTAAGGAAAATAAAGATTAATTGCTATGCTATTAAGCTTTCCACTAGCCTGAATCAGCCCTTTAAAAGAAAGGAGCAGCTTGCTAATCCAGTTATCCAATCCAAAGCTGTTTCAAAATTTTAAAAACACACTTATTTTTAAAATTTATTTATTTCCTAGAGACTCAGCATCCTTTGAGGAAGGCAGCTTATGGATTGGATCATGTTTCAGCTGGCCTAAAAGGGACCTACAATGGGATCTGTAGATAATCTTCAGCTGTTCCGCATATCCATGTTAGACAAACGTGTCACTCTAAGGGAATCACATCCCTGTAAGAGATAACATCCAAGCATCCAACAAGCTCTCAACTGAAACAGAGCGCAAGTACTATTTGCAACAGGCCTGCCTTCACTAGGTCTGGCAACCAATTCAAGCCTGAACCAATCTATCATAATGTCATTCCAAAAATAATTTAGGGTCAAGGGCTTCAAATGCTCTCACAGTATTCGGAAGCAGATGGGAGTCATCCTTGGAGAACTCCAAAAATCCACTGCTCAGTTTAGAAGAGCACTGGTGGGAAGATGAGCTACGATGCCACCAGAAACACGTCTGTGGGAGCAGCATAGGCAAAGGGGAAGCGCTGGGCAGGACTAATAGACCTAAGCTCTGCTAATAGACCTAAGCTCTGCTCAAGTCAGCAGCCAAGCTCCTTCCTGCTCAAAAGGGTTCAAGTCAGCCTGTGCAGAAGTAGGTCAACTCTCTAGGCTATGCATGGCCAAAAAGGTTTCACCGGTCTCCTCACCTTTCTGTTCTCTAAGCCACCAGGCTGGTGGGCAAGAGTCTAAAAGACAACAGAGCCAGGCCTGGTAAAGCTTGAAAGCCTGTGTATGCCCAGCCTATCAAAGATCACATGTAAAAGGAGTGCAAAAACCAGCATCAAGAGCCAAGTCTCCTTGGCAACTGAGATCAAAGCCCCATTGAGACTACCAGCAAGCAACGCTGACCCACTTTAAGACACAGGGAAGGAGGCAATATCAGACCACTTGGCAGTACGTATTCATCAATCCAGTGCTCCCACTGGGTGGTGCGACCGCCTGCCCCCCCAGCACCTGTTTCTTTCAGCCCTGCATGCAGCCACAGACTCACTTGTCTTGTGCTGTAACTCCTGCTGTCAGAGCAGCTGAACCTCAGCACGTGTCAAATATGTGCCCCAAAACGCGTAGTGCCTTAAAAAAAAAGAGAAAAACTGTCCCCCAATATTTATCTGCATCTTCAGTCTTCAATAACTAAAATAGCTATTGAAGATGAAACATGAATCAATTCTGTCCCAAGCCTGCAACGTATGCTTGGTGGCACCCGTGAATCATTGAGCTGAGCAGCAGTAATGGCTTTTGCTCCACCCAGAAGGGGTGTGAGAGCCTGGCATGAGACAAACGGGCAGGGCTGGGTTTGCCCAGAGGAAAGAGATGCAAAGGAACGGAGAAAGACGCACACAAGTGGCCCCGACTGCTGAGTAAGCACAGAGGAAGGTATTTGACTGTCCCTCCACAACAACACGTCTTAACCCCTTAACACTAATACATGCACAAAAGACAGATCACCACCACACACGGACACTACATAATCCCCAAGCTTCCTCTTCCTCCTCCTCAGTCTCCTGTCAGTCTATTTTCCTCTGCACTACTGCCAGTGCTGTTCTTGCTCTTCTGTCCCTCACCTCTTTCTGCTTCCCTCCGTGTCATGCAAACGCTTCCTGGGCAGTTGATTTGGGGCTTTCTTCTCTTGCCGTGGGCTCCTTCCCTCACCCGTACACCACCACCTAGCACACAGCTGGGCTGGAAAAGAGGCAAACTCCTTTCTGCAGCTCCCGCTTGCAGCTGGAATAGGATACAGGGAAGGGGAGCACTACAGTGGGTGAAAAGAGGAGTTTATTTTAGTCTGTGCCCACTTCCCTGGCAGCTGCCTGCTCCTCCAAACAAACCACATTAGTGCCAGGCTAACAGCAAGCCAGTGGCTTTCCCTAGCAAGCCAGTGGCTTGCCCTACTGCCCTGGCAACTCTCCCGAAACCACCCTCAGCTTCCCTCAGTGACTTGCAGCTCTTCCCGCTTGTGGCACTCAGTCCAGTCAGGTGTCTCTCATACCTGCCAGCACATCAAGAGGAGCAGGATGGCAGCCAGGAGTCGTGTCCAGTGTCTGCTCTGGAGGTAGTACCTGCTGGCCCGGATGCTTCTCTCCTCCCCAGTCTTTTGCTCAGAGGACCAAGGTGGGGGCTTTTGGAGCTCACATGGGGAACCTCAGGATGAGGTTAGACCATGGAGGGTGAAGCACTGTCGGATGGCACTGCCAAGCATCTGTTTGCAAAGAAGGATCTGCAGCTGCTCAGCACTTGGAAGTTGCCTTCCAAGCCACCCGACGGATGTAGGGATGGTGCTAGATACAAATTCCTGCCTTGAAGGCTCTTGGTGGGTAAACACCAATTTAACAAGAATGCAAGAGTGGCTTGAAAGCCTGTTCAGGGAAGAACAAGGTAACTCTCAGCGGCCAGCCTCATCTTCAATGACAGAGTACTGACCACAGAAACAACCCCTGAAGGAAAAACAACCTTTTGCCAGATCAGAAATCTGGCTTCTCAGCTCGTGATTGAAATCCCAGTCTGCCAAACACCTGCAGCATAACCTTAATGCAGCTACATGAGTCTGTAAACAATGAATGAGTAATAATTACTAGGAATTCATACAGAAAATGGATTCATAGTGGACTAAAGCATTAATGCATAAGCAAACAGGAATAATATCTGGGTGGCACACAAGCTGCTTGTACAGTTCAAAGGAACTCTGATACTGAAATGATATTCAGTGCTAATGAGAGATTGGAAAGCAGAAGCAGTATGTGAAACTGTAGGTTTTTCAGTAACAGATGGCCACTTTTAATAGAAGTTTCAGGACTGGATAGCAACAGTCTCTAAGTAAAGGAAGGGCTAACGTAATAGTCAAAGAAAAGCAGGTGAAGCACTGCTCTTAGTAGTAGGAAACCCCACGATAGACAAGAGTGCAAGACTGATTCAAGAAGTATCATCAACAGAGTTGATTCAGCATCTAAAACACTGCTGGAGCAAGTTCTCTCAAAAGCAGTCCTTGCCTTGCCTCGGCATCAGCTGAGGAACAAGTCACAGTTCTTACCTTTACCCTATGTCAAGGTTTCTTAATCTGACAGCCCACAAGACAGCAAAAGATGGTTCCCAGGAAGAAACCCCCCCACTATACCCAGGCCTTCTCAAGTATGTAAGCAAAGCATAGCGAAACACAACATTGAAGACTTAGCCTACGCTTTACTTGATGGTAAATAAAAACCACCAAGGCAAAGCTGCACAAGTTGATCAGCAGGTTATTTTTCTATTTTTTTCAAAAAGATAGGGTGGCCCTCAGGTGTGTTTTTAAAAGGTTAAGTGGTTACTAAGGCTGAGAAGTTCTGTGCTACATAACATGATTCCATAAAGGTAATAAACTCTGGGGGAAAAAAAAATCTTGAAACAAAACATGACACCCAAGCATATGCTAATCTGTAAACAAGTGTGTTGCAACAAACCAGCAATGCATAAAATACAATGCCAGTGCTTCTTACCCAAGAGGAAAACGTCTGCAAGCTGTTCATATGACAGAATACCATTTCATTTAGTGTTTAGGGCTGCTTATCTCACATCGCACTTCTGACTTAGTCTCCTGAGTACCAGAGTTTATCTGTACTGTTCACAGGAAACGCACAAGCAAAAATTCTGTAGAGATAAAGAATTGCAGAGCATACTTTTTGATTCTTTATGACCACATCTACCATTTTCAAATCAATTTAAAGTGCCAAGAACCATCCAGAAGGGAAAGACAAAGCCAAGCGCACACCTACATTTCTTCTCTTTTTCCGCTCTTGACTCCTGATGCGCATGTACGCACCGGAACCGTAACACCGCAAGACTACGCTTTACAATAGCGTCCTTTCTTAAAAGGACAACAAAAATAAAGTGCTAAACACACCGTGCCATCTTCATTCCTTGATCGCGCACGCCTGCTCGTGCGAAGTCAAGCCAAGAGGAACCCGCGCAGCAACCATTCCCTGCGCCCAGCTCCTTGACCCCCATCTCCTGGTTGGGGACACCTGGTTCCAAACCAGCTGCCCAAACACCCATCTCCGCCGGCGGACGCGGCTAGCAGGGAGCCGAGGA